CTATAAGTCCAAGAAGAAGTGATGGAGGACCATCTGGGTCATAACACATTGGGCCTCATCATACTGGGCTTCAACACACTAGACTTCAAATAAGGGTCAAACTTGAAGGGGTTGCACTTAAGGTTCAAATCTTGCCTGCAACAAAAAGGGAATATATCATTTTAGTTTCTCAAATTTGTCCAAAGCACTCCAAATACTCAGGGAGGTCCAAGGTTCAACTCTTGGTTACAACATTGGAGATTTTTTTTTGGTATATAAACTCATAAATGTAACTAAAAGTAGTATAGGTGGGACTTGAAGCTAGGAACTTCGGCCATTACTTGTATAAGGCAAAATTAGTCCCACATTCCTTAGGTGAGTGAGTGAATGAGAGGGGAACAACTATATATATATATATATATATATATATATGACCTATTGTGTAGCTTTTTTAATCATATTTGGAATGAAGTCAAAACTTGTATGTAGAACTTGCATATTTTGCTTGTACCCCGAATTGACTTTTCAAGTGTCTTTGGAGATTTCTTTCTCCTATTCTCCGAACAAGGAACCTTCCTTGGAGGAGTTAGTGTCAAGTTTCTTTAGAAACTTGGGAAATAATTTTGATTCACCTTGGGTGCTCAAGGTGTGAAGCTTTTGGCGTTATCCATGATGGAAGGAGGGAGATTATTTCCATCAAGAAGACCCATGGTGGGTTCTCCACACAGATGGATTCTCCAACTGAAAGAGAGCAGGGGTGAAGATAGTGTTAGAAGGGTCGAGAAACCTATTGATAGAGCAATCATTACAGTTTGATTTCAAAGCTTCAAATAACCAAGCGGAATATGAAACCCTTATAGTTTACCTATTGCTTGCAAAAGAGATGGGAGTAACGAAAGTCAAATGTCGAATCGACTTACAACTCATAGTAGGACACATCTCTAGGGAATATGTAGTCAAGGAACTACTGTTGATAAGGTACTATCACAAAGTGATTGGACTATTGACAAGTTTCCTAAAAAACAAGGTGGTACACAAACGTCGAGAGAAAAATGTTTGGGTAGATCTCCTTTCATAGCTAGCAAGTACTAATGAAAAAGGGGGTGCAATCACCACCTATCTACAAAGTGACACATTATCAAGTGGCGCAACCCAAGCACGAAATGTTCGAAGAATGTTTGCACGTTACATAATGATTGGCGACAAGGTGTATAGAAAAGGATTTGCCTCCCCTATATAAAAATGTCTAGCCCTATATAGGTCGAGTACACATTAAATGAACTCCATAATGGGTATGCGAACTGCATTTCGAAGGACAAAGCATGGCTGCTAGGGTGCTCTGAGCGGGATACTTTTGCCCAACCTTGCAAGGAGACAATGCAAACTATGTGAAAAAAATGTGACTAATGTCAGTGCCATGACAATCTTTCACACATGTTCCCGATGAAATTACATAATGTCATGTCGCAATGACCATTTACAATATGGGGAATGGACATCGTTAGCCTACTACCGCCGACTAAAGGGCAATACAAATTTCTTCTCGTAGTAGTCGACTACTTCATAAAATGGATAGAGGCTAAGCCCTTAGCAACCATCAAAGTGCAACAAGTACAAAAGTTCATTAGGAAAAATATCACGTGCTATTTCGACATACCCCACACAATAGTAACGGACAATGCCTAACAATTCACCAATAAAGGATTAGCAAAATTTTATTAAGACTTGAGCATCAAGCTTAAGACAAGCTCTATCGAACACCCCCAAGCCAATGGTCAGGCGGAGACTGCTAACAAGGTCATCCTCAGATAACTGAAGAAGAGACTAGAAGAGGCAAAGGATGAAAGATTTATTGGAAGCATGATGGGCCTATCGATGCACACCCCAAACCTTTACTCACGAAACATCGTACAACCTAGTCTACAAGGTGGATGTGATGATCTCAGTTGAGATCAGAGAACCTACACCAAGGAGAGACATATACTCGACAAGGAACAAAAAAGACATGCGGGGTAGTGGTTGATCTGATAGAAGAATCAAGAAGAAAGACACAAATATGAGAAATGACAAGAATCAAGAAGAAAGACACAAATATGAGAAATGACAGCCAAGGCTAGAGCAGCCAAAAGATACCTCACTCCAAAAGATACCTCACTAAGGTCAAATTGAGATCCTTCTCAAAAGGAGATTTGGTGTTACAAGTGAGAAGTAATGCAAGGAGAAACCTAACAAAAGGAAAACTCGCATCCATTTGGGAAGGATGCTACAAAATAGTACAATCCTTGAACAACAGTGTGTACCGACTGGAGCACCTATTTGGCGAACAAGTCTTGAGGACATGGAATGCCAAGTCATTCATGTTTTATTTCACTTAATGTAACTCTTTCCTTCCATAACGTGTACTCTTTTTCCTCTGAGCCGCCAACATCTACTAGATCATCACATATGTGCTTCCTTATGAGGAAAACACGTGTTTAGAACTCCACAAATGCCTTATATAGATGAGAATGACTCGTTGAAGCATACACGTCCTTCTTGGAAGTGGTCACGACGATGTTCACCTTGCTCGAAACGTGCAAGTCCTTCCCAAGAAACATGGAGTAATCAAGAACCAACTAAGAATCTGCGTTGAGGGTAACCTCCGCAGGCATGGACTTCTCTTGGGTGTCTTCCCCTTCTAGGCTAGCGCGAGGTTCTCACTCTTTAGCTAACTAAATAAGCCCTTACTTGAGGGAAATTATTGTCCATGAGATGTGCATACAAATAAAAAATTCAACATGGTCAACACCGATAATACAATTTAAGAAAGAAAGGAATAACATGATAATGAAAATGTTGCTCCAACAACACAAACACAAATAAGCTCCAAGAAGTTTGTAGGTAGGTAGTCGTCGAGATAGCCTATCAAACATCTCAAGAGTATGAATATTTGCCGAACTCATGTTCATCCTCACCTAGTAGTGGTAGCAGAGAGGGTCAGTAATCCAATAAAACAAAAATTTGGCAGGTTCCCCATCATAGAAGTAACGTCACCCATCCCACTCCACTTGCACCTTAGAGAAATCCAACTTAAAATTCTTGAACAATAAGGTATATGTTTCAAAAAATGTGTTCAACGGTTGATCGATGAGAGAAATCCAACCAATCCGATCCTCTGGTGTGTGCTGAAGTGTGAAAAAACACGGCGGGAGTCAGCTCCAAGCGCAAAACTTCATACACAAGTCGAAAGGCCTGTAAGGCGGCCCAACTATTTGGATACAGTTAGGTCGGTGTAGCATTGAACACTCGTAACACACCCATGGTAAAGTCGTCGAAAGGGAATCGAACATGCAAATCTTTGACAAGGCAAGCGTACATATAGAAAAAATATGCTAACCACCCCTCACGATCATGACAAACATTCTCAAAGGCATAACATCGGCCCAAGGAAACAATATCCTTTTCTCCGCTCTCGTCAACCATGTGTTGTCTTGCGGCAAACGAAGTTAGCATGGATGCCCACATATACTTGGAAGTATATTCTTTCATGCGGGGTCACTTAAGTATAGCAACCACTAGGAGGCAAATCCGTCTCGGCTCACTCTAACACAAGTTAGGCGTCTTTATTAGACGAGTAAACACTCCTCTCATTGTCTCATCCAATATTCTCGGTAGACACCAATAAGGTTGGACTAGTGTTTGTGTTGTCCCCACCACAGGCCCGACAACCTCCCCATTACCTTGTATGATGAACCCACTCGACAAACTCTTAGTCACTAAAGACAGAACAAAAGACATCTCACCTAGAAAGCATAAGACAAAGAGGGAAAACTTAGAAAGCACAAAATGAGAAATTCTTGTTGGATAACGGAGAGCAAAAGCGCATAACTAGTAACAATAAGCCCACCACATACTTATAAGGAGCAGACACGAAAATTGAAGTGTCGCAAACCCCTCGTTGTTTGATTTACATGATCCTACAACACAAACAAAACCCCTCATTAACGTGAATGTAACATCAGCCACCAATCATCATTATCCCACTGGGATTGTCGTACCTCCTACAACCTTTTAGATCCCTGTCATCTACCATACCCTTAACTCGAAAAGAATAGTAACAACCAACCACAGTTGCTTTGAACTTGGGGGGCATGTATTGTAGGTATGTAATAAGTGTATCAGTATAGGTACTATAGAGATACGGTTCTTGTTGCATTGCGAAAGCATGACCGCATCGATGCAAGTACAACTTACAATAAGGATATTGTGCAGAAGCAAAGTACACAACATATAGTACTTGTAGAAGCGAAGCACAAAATATAGTACTATGCATAGGCGAAGAACACAACATGTACCACAAACACACACATGTACATTCAAGGTGAGACAACCCAAAGGCTAAAGCCCATGTAAACTACCTATATGTGGTACTATGAATAGACAAGGGTTCCAATCCTTATTTTTATTGCACACCCCTCCTTCACTTATTAACATAAAAGTTGGAGTGTTTTCTACCGAGACACTATCCACACTCCAACAATAACCCAACAAAGATGAACACCTCCCAACAAGACCCCAATCATAAAAAAGACAACATAGAAATATACAAATATAATACTTGAATCTTGTAGAATATATCAATATTGTAAGAACATTAATTAATATTCAAATTATATATTTTTTTACAATAATATTAATATTAATTAAAAAATAAATAACACTTATTTTAAAATTAATATTTTTTCTTATATTCTCTAAATACATGAATATTCATATTCATGATTTTAGATTAATTAACTTCAATATAACTTTAGTGTTTCAAATCTAGAATAAATTTACCTTTTACTTCTTGAAATTTAAAACTGTTTTTTTGGTTTTTAATATTTAAGAAATGTTTATTTTAATTATTCTGTTCTAAACATATTTTAAACTAATAAACAAAAAATTGTACATAACAATATAAAATCAAATTACTGCAAAACAGAGAAATATTTAACAATATCGGAGAAAGAAAGAAACCAAACCCTGGCTTAGGAGCAAGCATGTCCCTCCACCGCCATGTTTGCACTACCTCAAAGCTCTCAACGATCCCTTGGAAGTACAAGAAGTTCGCCATAGCACAAGGCCAGAAGTCCCTTACCGATTATCTCCACGCCACGCGCTGCATCCCTTACGCCTACGCTGATCAAATCTCCAAGAACTCCCACACTGCCCTCACCAATCTCATCAGCAAGCTCGGTTCTTTCTCTGTTTCCCACTTCCCCCACACCATCAACAAATTCCTCAGGTACAACCCCATCAACGAATTTGAGTTCTTCTTCGAGAGCATTGGTATCCACCCCTCCAAGTTCCCCTCTTTGTTTCCCCAGAACAAGTTCTTCTTTTCAGAAGATGGGACCGTTTTGGATGCTGCTTGTGTTCTCAGCGAATTTGGGTTTCCCTGGGACAAGCTTGGGGTTCTATATGTGAAGAGTGGGTGTGTGTTCAAGTGGGGTGCTTCTGAGCTGAAGGATAGGCTTTGTGGGTTCAAAAGATATGGTTTTTGCAATGTGCAGGTTGTGGGGATATGCCTGGCTTTTCCCTTTGTGTTTGATGGCCTAGAGGGTGCTGAGATTGATGCTTTGTTTTGTGATTTGAGGTTGCTGTTTGGGGAGTTTGGTTTGGCTGGGTGTGTTGAGGTGAAGGGGAATGGTGTGGATGATTGGGTTAGGGTGTGTAAGAAGATAAGGTTGTTTTATGATTTGACTGGTGGGAAGAACTTTGGGGAGCTCATTGGAGGGAACAATGGTGTTGGTGTAGGTGTTATTGTTGAGCATGGGGAAGAGGAGTTGGTTCAAGCAATTGCGTATTTTTGTAGGTTTGGTGCGAAGGAGGACGTGGCACGGTTGATTGTAAATGGACCGGAATTGTTGGAGCTTGATATGGAATCGAGGGTGGTCAATGTGATGAAGCTTTTGAAACACTTTGGAATGAGCTCCAATGGTGTTGATGATGTTAGGAGGGATTATGCTCATGTGTTGGGGACAGTCAAGATGAGTAATCTGCCCAATGTGATGAGGGCTTTGGGTTTACATGAGTGGTTCTTTGCCAAGATCAAGGATGGGAATTATAGGTTGTTGGTTAGTTTTGTCACGAGCAATCCCGATGCGGTACGAGATAAAGATTACCTAGGTTGTTTGAAGGCTATTGAGGCGTCAAGAATGCCAACTCACAGTATGAAGAAGTTGAACTTCTTGCACGCCATTGGCTTTGGAGAAAATGCTTTAACCATGAATGTTTTCTCCCACTTGCACGGAACAAGTTGTGAGTTACAAAATAGATTTGACTGCCTTCTACATTTTGGGATTGAGTTTTCAAAGGTCTGTAAGATGATCAAGGCTCATCCTAAGATTCTTAGTCAAAACCCTGAAAATTTGAAGCAAAAGATTAATTTCTTCTGTCAGGAAATGGGATACTCATTGGAGAATTTGGTCACTTTTCCAGCATTCTTGTGCTTTGACTTAGAGAATCGCATTAAGCCTAGGCACAGATTTCATTTGTGGATAATGGAAAAGGGTCTGTCTTTAAAAAAATATTCCATTGCAAGCATGGTTGCAACAAGCAACAGGAATTTGGTTGCTCGCGCTTATAGTATCCACCCTGCTGTTCCAAAACATTGGTTTGAACAGTTTTATCCCTGAAATTTGCCAATGTGATGACTATGATTTTTTAACAATTGTCTATGAAACTTCTGCAGTTATTCCAAATGAAGTTGTACAGAATCTTAAACTTGGTGACTTCCTTATGTTTTGGTTTGGAGTTGAAGACAAACTATTCGATATTGTTGGAGAACTTGTCACAAGTTTATTTGCTTGGTAATGATAGTAAGACATCAAGACAGACCTGCAAATTTCTTATCATTTCCTATGACCTCATCTCTGTTCCGAATTCTGAGAGAAATCACAAATTCTGTGAACCATTGGATATGCTTCTTCAAGGTGATTTTATTGACTTAGATTGGCCATTGTAAGTACTTGTACTTTTTATCGTGACTTTATTGATCTGATATTTTCAAATAAACTCATTTTTCCGTTTTTAATTTTCAATTTTTCAAATTGTATAAAGATATTGTAACTGATAGAGGTTGGCTCATATACTAGATAACTGAGAAGATGCACCAATATGCATTGTAATACTTTATTACATTATAAAATCTTCTTAGACATTGCCAATGGGTATATGCTTTCTTGATTGATCTGAAAGGTGCATTAGTTCTATTTGAATCTAGGGACCCATATTGCTGGTTTGCTCTATTCTTTAGAATGGGTCACATCCCTAAGCATTTTCAGACATTAAGATTCTTGGCCTCATGTTTTGCATGGCTTATTTTTTGTGCTCCAAAAATATTGTAATGAAAATGCTGCAGTGAGAACTAGTTGTAGAAAAAACTGTTTCTTATAAATTTTAAGAAAATCAATCATATGCTTACCTATTGCCGAGGAGATATTGTTGGATATAAGAGAAACATCTATATGAATCTTACCTTGTGTTTGGATAAAGTATTTTGTAATTTCTATGAAATTCAAATACACTGAGTTTGAATTCCTTTCATTTTAAATAATTTGTTTGTATTAAGCAATTCAAATTTATTGAATTTTAAATTTCTTGTTTGGATGAAGTATTTCAATTACTATCAAATATAAACTTTATCATCATTAGATTTGTAAATTAGGTCTAGTTCATAGAACTTGACCATTATGTACATGGATTATCGAGTCAAGTCAGATTGGGATTGGGTCAAAAAGGTTGGGTTGAGTCAAGTTAGGTTGACAGGTTGGGATGAGTAGGGGTCATGTTAAATAATGTTGGGGTGAATTAGGTTGAGTTAGGATGAATCATAATATGTTGAGTTGAGTTTAGTCAAGATGGATCAGTTCAGATTGTAACCAAATAAGACAAATCAAGATGTGATAAATTAGGTTAGGCCAAGACAAGATTTGTTGAGTTAGGTAGGGTCAAATCAAGATGAATTAGACTAGTCCAAGATGAGTCAAGTTGGGATACTACTTTGGGTAGTTGGGTTGAAATTGATCAATAAGGGATGAAATAAATTAGGATAAGTTTGGTCAAGATGGATTGAATTGGGTCAAGATGGGGTTGGGTCAAGAAATATATGATGGACCAGATCGAGAGTAGTTGAGTCGGGATGGTTTGAGTATGGTCAAAATGTGTTAAGTTAGTTTGAATTAGGTCAAGATGGGTTAGACTAAACTATGTTTATTTAGGTTGAGATCAGCTCCATGTTGAAATGAGTTGAGATGAGTAAAAAATATATCAATCCAGATTGTGTCAAAGAGAAAATATAAAGAGAAGAGACAAATTTGAGAAAGAAAAAAAGATGGAGAATTTTGAATTCTTATTTTTTTAGGTGAAATTCGAAATTCTCTTATTTTAAGTAATCAAAATATCTTCAATCTATAGAATTTCAATTATTTTCCAAATTTTCTATCCAAACAACCAATTTTGTCATGAAGTATTTCAAATACTCTATTAAAATGAATTACCTTCTATAAATTCCCCTTCCAAACATAAGATTAAGGTTTTACCACTTCTAAATTAGAAGATCAGATTGTCCTTATTATTTCCCAATATACTTGTTAATATTAACAGATTAAAAATATATGTTTTTCCTAATGCATAAGTTTTTAAGTATTCATTTCTCTTACTCTCTTGGATCCTAGCTGCGTATATCCGAAGAGTTGGTAAAAATGTGACCAGAAATTCCAGCGTCGCTTAATATTCTCCACTTTATGTTTATTTTACTCTAGCAAAATGGGGGAATCTAAATATTTATGAATTTCTTTTCAGCGAGTCCAAGGAACTGAGAACCAACCCATCCTTCTCCAGGGAGGGCCAAAAAAGTACCTTCTAAAGTAGGTAACACGCCTATTAATGGACCCTAGGGTTGAAATCAATAAACCCTTTTGTAGAGGACCATCTCATCATTCCTGAAAATTTTCATGTCATATTTTAAAAATACCAGTATGACAAGTGATAAGAAATCACATTGTGGAAAGATAATTAGGTGCAATTCCAAGCTCTGCTGTATGTTATACTAGAGCAATCTTGGTCTTCATTTGTAGCAGAAAAAAATTGGAAGATTGTTCAAATGAATGCAAGTCTATGTAAGCCACTCTGTTTATACATTTCTGAATGCCGCTGGGACAATTACTAGCTCATTTAATGTTTTGGTGGATCTCGTTTAGTTGTTTATGCAGCAGACGCCTTGTGTATTAACTTTCATACGAGAGTTCTGTAGAAGTTTAACAGAAAATCTATGTGGCATTGATTTAGCCTAGTATCTGCCTGAGTGAAATACACTGCAACTTTTATTGATGTTGATTCAGGACTTATTTACTAAAATTTTACCCATGTCATGATGTTGAATTGGTAACTTATTAGGGTAATCATTAATGTTTTAATTTTTGTTCTCTACATTAATGTTCAAAAATTATGCATTTGTATGAGAATTGATCATTGAAAAGCTGTGTAAGTGGCCATGTAATTGGTCTAAAGTTCTTTGGATAAACCATCTTGGTCATTATGTAGACAAACACAAGTTCTTTTTGTTGATTAATTATTTATTTTGGGTTACTCATCGTTGCTGGAATGCAGAAACTTATATTTAGAGTAAGTTTTGAGTGTTTGATTCCATTGAGGCCTTAACCAATGATGATAAAAAGACCAGTACTCCCTGAAATGCATTTTCTGTTTCTACATTTTTCCATCTGAATCAGTCATATATTATTTTCTATTCCATTTGTTGATTATGTCTCTAAAAAAGTCACAATCAAGGTTCTCATTAGTGACCTGAACTTCCTTCAAGCTCTCAAGTTAACCATTGAACCAGATGATTATCCTTTGCTTGTGATCCATTTCTCTTTCATAGGCACTTGCAATTGCAATGACATATTGTAAGGTACAAGACCTCTGCCCCCTATGCTTGTAATCTATTCGGATTTCCATGGATTTTGGTTACTTATGTTTCTTTTTTCTGTTCAGGGTGCTTGTGGTTCTGTGGTTGACAGAATTTGTGTTAGGTAATTCACATTTGTTGTATTTGAAATAAAATATGAGAACTGAGGCTTATCTTTTGCCCTGGATGGAATACTAATTCTTAATTTGCGAGGAATTATAAAGGAAACTAGTAAATTTGGTGAGTATATGTGAAACTACTGTCACTAAATTTGGTGAGGAAATATTGACTATTTTGTATTTCTGATGTAACATTAGTTTTGTTAATAATGCTTAGAATTAGTCTCTATGGTTGATGTATAACAGATTATTGAGATTTAGTGGGTGTTTGATTTGTATATATTTATTTATTGTGAAGTTAAAATGATAAATAGTAAAATAAGTAATCTTATAACTATTTTATTAAGATAAAAAATAATTATATGTATTTTTATTTCTAAATAAAACATTATATTTTTTAAAAATTTAGTATTGCATAATATTGTTAGTGCTGTATAAATTTATTTAGAGTGACATTATTAGCTAAGTAGTTCTAATCAGGCAGTTAAGTGGGGTGTTAATGATACTATTTTAAACATTATACTTTTTCATATTTTCACTTATAATCTTTATCATATGTGTGATTTTGAATGATAATGATAAAAAGATGTTAAAAGTGTAGATATTTTGTATTAATAAAATAATTAAAACAATAATAATCTATCTAAATTTAAATGTATAAATTATGAAATTGTATATAATTTATATATCGATCCAATTTGTGAACCATTGAATAAAATATCTATAATTGATAGTGATAGTGATACTTAATAATATTAGTGTTTTGTTTCTTCATTTATTGTACTATCTCAACCTGCACTTTATATTTTATTCCTTACTCAAATATATATTGTTGTTGATCTAAAGAAGTTTCGAATTTATGTATTTTTTTTAACTTTTTAGAACGAATTCTTTAGAAATATTGTATATTGATATTTCTGAAAGTTTTTTTAAAATTCGTTTAGAAAGGTTATCAAGTTGTTTATTCAGAATTTAAATTATACATGTAAAAGATTAATTTTAGATTTAGTTTTTGAGAAATTTTTGTATTAATTTTTTAGAATGGTTCAACATTTGAAATTAAAATATTATATATATATATATATATATATATATATATATATATATATATATATATTCATATCTATTTATTCAATTTTTGAAATACTTTACAATTTGATAACTTGTTTCATAAAACTAAAGAATTAAGGTGTTTTTTTTTTAAATAAATGAGGTGTAAAAAAAAAGTACAAAAAATATAGTATGAAAATGTGTATATCAACAAGCAAGGTTAATGAAAAATAAACATAAAAAGAAAAAATTTATATTATTCTTATATATGTTTTCTAGAATATGTTTTACAATAAAAAATTATTTTCTTTATGACGTTATCTATCTTACTTTACATTTTTTTTTCGTATTTCTATCAATCATGGAAAATAATAATAAAAGAAAGTTAATAGATTAAAAATAAAAAAACAACATCGTAATTAGACATGTTAAATTAACTGGATCGGTTTAAAAAGTTTGAAAATGTCAAGTTAGTTAAAAAAGAAATGATATAAATTAATTAAGTTTATTTTATTTAAATCATGACCTAGGTAGATTTGTGGTAGACTAGTGTATAAGTTGATAAGAACATTTATTTTATAAAATAATAATTATTTTTTAAATAAAAATAATATTATTTTATTAAAAATATATATTTGTATTATATATTAATTTGATAAAGAATAAGTAAATATTATTTTAGATCAATAAATTATTAAAAAGTAAATAATAATAACAAAGACTAAATTTTTAAATTTATTTTGAAATTAAATAAAATCGTTATTTTATAATTTATATATTAAATTATTATCTCTTAAATAAAATTAATTTTATTAATATAATTTAAAATTTAAAAAATATATTTTTATTTTTATTTAAATATTTGTTTGATTAATTATTTTGGTATAACTATGTTAATAATTTTTTAAAATTTTTAATTAAGATAAATTTGACTTATTAATATGTTGACCTAATATAAGGTTAAGCTAAAATAAAAATTATGATTATTTTTAAAATGTAGGTCTAACTGAGTTATTATATTCTTTTACTTAACCCATAAGATTTAGGTAGATTTAACTGATTACTTGTTTTGACAATTCTACATATAGTACCAATATTTATATTTTTATAATATTTAGTAGAGTTATTAAAACGAATGATTTTATTCAGTTTGGTCTAACTCTACCGTTCATGTAAAAAAATTTGATGACCTAAATAAATAAATATTTTTAAATGGACCATAATTTTTTACAGATTAACTGACTAATAAGCCAATTTTGATATTGAATATAACAAATATTAACGTGTCTATAAAAAATAAATAATTAAAAAAATATTTAAATTAAAATAAAAAATTAACTTTAAAATTTTAAATTTTACTAATAAAATTATTTTTTATTTTAAATATAAAAATATATAAATTATAAGAGAAGAGATCATTTAGTAAAAAAAATAAAAGTTAAAAACTTATTATTTATTATCATCATTTATTTTTTTAATAGTTTATTGATATAAAATAATAATTTATCTTAATTATTATATCATAATAAATATATGTTAATTTTTTTTTATATTTATTCTAAGATAAGTGAAAATCTAATTAAATTAATAATATATATATATATATTAATGGAATAATATTATTATTATTTTTATTTAAAAATTTATTATTATTTTATATAATATATATATATATATATATATTAATAAAATAATATTATTATTATTTTTATTTAAAAATTTATTATTATTTTATAAAATAAGTTTATTTTGTAAGTTTATAGACAAGTCTAATCTAAATCAATAATCTAAATCTATAGAGTTAAAATAAATATGATTTAATTAAAGATACAATTTTTTTTAATTTAATTTAAATTATTTGGTTCAAATATTTTGAATGGGATTAAATTTATTCTGAGACACATAATATTTAATAAATTTTGGACTGATAATAAAAAATATTTTCAAAAGAAAACCTATTAGATAGTTTTGGATAATCATAGGTTGACGGTCCAAATCAATCTGTTTATATCAACTGTTCGATATTTTTTTTAATTGAAATTATATAAAATTTAACCAATATAATTTCTCTTGCATAAGCAATTCTAAGAGTTTATTGAAGGAAAACGTATAGAATAATCCTTGAATCCAGATGTCACATTGCTAAGAGTCCACGTAGGACTCAGAATCCAGCATGTCATGGTGCAGACATAAATGATCCACCATGATTGGCGTAGACCATATCCAACTTATCCAAGTGGAAAATATTCAGATAAGGCACTCTCCACAACCACACATGATCACACACACCAATCACCACTTTGAGCCACAAAAAAACCAGACTATATTTCACACTTCTCTCTCCCACACTCTTGTCACATTCCACAAAACCAAGGACTAAGAAAGAACTTGGGTAGCTAAGGATCAAGGGAAGATAATGGCTCAGGCAATGGCATCAATGGCAGGAAGCCTTCAAGTGAGTGGCTCCACACGCTTGCATGGCAGCAGGGTGGCCTCAGTCACACGTGCGGGTTTCACAGTTAGAGCACAACAGCAGCAGCAACAACAAGCACAAGTGAGTGGTGAGGCACAGAGTAGCCGTAGGGCTGTGCTTTCTCTTGTTGCTACTGGGTTGGCCACTGGCTCCTTTGTTCAAGCTGTTCTTGCTGATGCCAAATCTATCAAAGTTGGACCCCCTCCACCACCTTCTGGTGGATTGCGTAAGTCTCTCTCTCATCACATAATTCAATTTATTTTGAAGAAATAATCGTTAATCACTAGAGTAAATAGGCGATACATTTACAATATGAAGTCTTTTCAACACTAGATTCAATAGCAGATTATTATGTATAATAAATTTGTAGATTTTGCCAATGATTATCTGACAAAGTTATATCATTTCTAATTAGTTGACACCGTTAAACATGGATTAAACTCTAATTAGAATGCATTCGTTTATAATATAATCTTTTTATACTGTTTCAAACACAGATTGCTATGTATCGGAAGTTTGTAGAGTTTTATAACAGCTATCTTACCAGTTTTACCCATCCATGAATTAGTTAACATTGTAAGCATATTTACAGTGATAATTCTAGTTAGTTAACCGTGTAAATATCTGCATGAATATTAAATTCATTTTTTTTTTTTATATTTTTACAATTTCTTCACAGAACTTAAAAGAACAGCTTCTTTAAATTTGAAGTTTTTCAAATTCAGATATGTTGAATAGTTAACTCTTTTTGTCTTTATCTCTCACTTGATATCATGTATATATGTGCATGAATGTGTATGTGTGTGCTAGTTAGTAATGGATCATGGATTTTGTATTAAATGATGAGACTTGAGGGATGAAAAATGCAAATCGGAGTAGGGAAGTTTAGTAAGTTTCATTTATGAAAACAGGGTTAGATGCAAAGACAGGAAAACTAAAGCAAAAATCAGATATGGGGTCTGTGACATGGTAGTATTGTACCACAGAACAGTAAGTTTTGAACAGAAAATAGGTCATGCATGTTGCATTAAATGATGAGAGCTTTCAGTAGAAAAGTTTGAGGTAGGATTGAGTTTGATTTTAGTAGATTTCATTCATGATAAATGGTTTGAGGCAAAGACACGGAAAACAAAACAAAACAAAAAAAGTGGGATTGTTTAAGTGACATGAAGAATGGAGTTTGAAGATAATTATAACCATGGTGGGTGTGTTATGGAATATGGCAGCTGGAACATTGAACTCAGATGAAGCAAGAGACCTTGATCTGCCATTGAAAGAAAGGTTCTTCCTTCAACCACTGTCTCCTACTGAGGCTGCACAAAGGGCAAAGGAATCAGCCAAGGAAATTGTTGCTGTTAAGAAGTTAATAGAAAAGAAGGCTTGGCCATATGTTCAGAATGATTTGCGTCTCAGAGCTGAGTATCTGCGGTTTGATCTCAACACTGTCATTGCTGCAAAGTCTAAGGATGAGAAGAAATCACTCAAAGAACTCACTGGCAAGCTCTTCCAGGATATCAGCAATGTAAGTTGAAAAATACAAAAGACAAAAATTGGATACCAATGTGTATAACCAAAGTAAAAGTCTAATTCTGATACAAAAATAACTGAATAACTACATCTAATTTGGTCCTTATCAATTTAGGATTGTGAAAGTTTTAGAGTGCTAATTAGAGTTGTTAATTTTTGTTTCTCAGCTGGATCATGCAGCAAAAATTAAGAGCAGCCCAGAAGCAGAGAAGTACTATGCTGCTACTGTGTCTACTCTGAATGATGTCCTTGCTAAGCTTGGTTAATGTGATTAATTTCTTGCTTTCTTGTGTAAGCTTTGTCCATGATTTTCTCAGACACTTTGTTGACTGCTATTTTAAGAAAATCAAATGATGAGGGAAAATTTTCTATAAATAAGCATGAGAATAACTTCAATTAAATCAATATATCTACACCACTATTCCCTCCTGCCTGTCCAAAACATAACATACTTGCTAGATTATATGACTGCAGTTTGTTCATGAAATTGAAAATAAAGCCTGAACAGAGAACCCCAAAACCTGTTTATGTTTTAAGGAGCAGAGCTTAGGAAAATACAACTTCTGTAAATCAACTCAAAAGATTGATATTAAAGAAAAGTAGCCATCAATGATCATAGTTAATAACTCAAATAATGAATAAACTATTACATTATCACTGTTTAATGGATGCTAATTCCTTTTTACTGCATGAAAAGCCTCAATTCAACTCGAACCACAACACAACAACCCCACTTTTGCAGGAATCATATCAAAGCCTCCACCATACAATGCCAAGATCCACAAAAAAACTAATGACAAGCAAGTCTTCTATCTTGTTGAACTTTGCAATACCCATCAAGCTATTAAGCCTACGTCACAACCCAACACCATTCCTTACAACCATCATACTTCCCTTGTCATGGAGCCATATCAAGTTCTTTTCATCCACACTTTTCCACACTTGTTAACAAATTATTTAGGCAAATTATACAATTTCATTTAGTTTAATCTTTTTTTATTGAGATCATGTGAGATCTTTTATAATACCCTAGGGGTGTTATTATATCTTACTATGCAGCTTATTTTAAGGAATGAAAATTTTGAATATAAAGTTATCAAAATTCTAGCAAAAACTAAAAAATAAAATAAAAAATGTTAAAATGAACTACCATGACCTCAAACTCATTTTGTAAGTCACTTCAAACTATGTATAACTTTTTTGAAAATCAGATCCACGAACCGATTCAACCAGAACCAGTATAAAAATTAATTCATTATTTTTAAATAATTAGATTTTAATTAAATTGATAAAATTAGAAAAATTGACTGGGTTTTGGATCGAATTGATTTTGATAAAAAAAATTAAGATTAAAATTTTTAATTTTTTTAAATACAATTATTTTTATAAAAAATATAATGGTTTTAAGTTTTTATTTTTTATTTATTTCAAATTTGGTGAATTTTAAATAATAATTATTTTATTATATTTTTATTTTACTTTAATTATTATTTGTCTTTAATTCTAATGTTTTATATTTATATTTTTTTATTATAATTTATGTAAACTATATTAACAACTTTTTTTTAATTATTTTTATTAATAATTTATTATATTATAAAAATATTATTTTATTAAATTCAGTTAATTAAATTTTTAAATTTTAAATTCATGTTTTTAGTACTATTCAAATTTTAAAAACATTGTTATTTATCAACGGCATCTACCTTAAAACTAAAAACCATATTAACTTAAACTAAAGATACATAAACTTTAGCGAGTATTCTAGACATTTTAGATAACTCTATCATATTAAATTGTCCAATTCATATTTTAGGTTTATTTTACTATTTAAAAATAATTACAAATATCTTGAAAAACTATTTTATAAAAATAAGTAAAAAAACTTATTTGTTAACTTTAGTTTCAAATTGTTTTAACAAGTTAACGATGATAAAATCAAGTGATGTAAATATCGTTAATTGTTTTTACAAAACGAGAATGATAAATGTTATAATCAATGAAAAATGAAATGTTAGAATATTATTTTATTTTATTGTTAAAATATGACTTAAATATATGGGTTGTAAGATTTTTGAGTCAACATGGTGAAGTTATAGGATTATGTGATTAACGTGATTGGATTGTAAGATCCTATGATTAATGTGACCGAGTTGTAAGATTTAGGGATCAATGAAAAGATGATCCTACAAAGACACTCTTAAGTCAATTTTTTAAGTGGAAAAATATATCCTCATAATCAATAATTTATAAAGATAACATAAGAATTTGAATTGTCATCGCCGGCACGAAGATTTTGATATTTGCGAACAGTTGTGATGGATGACTAAACTCCTTTATTTTTGGTTAATTATATGTGGTTAACATTCTTAAGATACCTGATAACCGGAATGACCTTAAGAATGAGGTGTTCGTAAATGGTTCTATGGAGTCACCACTGATGTTTTTACTATAAACATCGGAAAATGTAGAAAAGAAGGTGTTGATTTAGAAAGACCAACTTTGGTCGTTACAACCAGAGTTGGGTAAGAGAGTTAGCTACGTGTGGAGAAGGTGTTAGCACCCCACAACACCCCTTTCGGGTTCCCTATGATAGACTAATTCATAAAATAAAGACTAAAAGAAACTATGCTTTTACCCTATTTATTTATCTACTGGTAGAATTTAAATGTCTACAAGATCCTAATATTTAATACATACAAGGAAAGCAGTAAAAGAAAACAGTAAAAGAGAAGAGATATGAAAGAGAACCTTCGAAGCGAGCTTTTATAAATCTTGAACTTGAGGACGCTTTTTGGCAGTCCCCGCACTCTACAGAGACACTTCTCCTTCGAACAAAAAATAAAATACCACACTACTGAGCGTCGGATGTCTCAAAAGGAGACTTCCTTAACCGATTTCTACCTTAAACGGAAATCAGAAAGCTCACTCGGACTCTAGAATAATGCCTAGAGTTACTCTCAAGTGCCAAAAGGCTTTCTAGAGAGTGTAGGAGTGGAAAAAGGGTGTGAAAAATGAGAAATGAGGCTCATATTTATAGGGAACTAAAGTAGGAAAAGTGGATGACCGTCTGGGCTTAGTGGACGACCATCCATGACCAAAAGTAAGCATGGATGACCGTCTATGTAAAGTGGACGGCCGTCCATGTCTAAAATTTGTCATGGACGACCGTTTGGGCTAAGTGGACGGTTGTCCATTACCTCAAAATAGGCATGGACGACCGTCTGGCTAACCTAGACGACCATCCATTGTTCCTGACGAAATTTCCAGTTTTTATTGCCTCAGAAAACCCTTCCTATCTTAAATGGAACCTAGAAAAAGCTACTAGGAACTTAACTAAGTCTTGACTATCTTCGAAACGGATGATTTTCTAGCTTTATTAGGAAGTCGGACAAGATTTGGGGTCTACAACTGTCCCCCATTCACCTGACCAATTGACTATGGGCTAATGTACCATATGGTCGATTGACTGGTGAACGAGTTAACCTTCTTGTCCGGTTGTCCTCCGGATGCTCCTCTTGACGTGGTAGCCGACCCTCGGGACTATGGATGCAGTCTGGTGTTGTCTTCAGGATGCTTCCTTACTGTGGAGGCTGACCCTTTGGACGATATGTGTGAAGCTTCAGGATGCTCCTTTGATGCGGTAGCTGACCCTTCGACTGATGAACATTTTTTTCCTTTGGGATGTTCCTTTGATGCGGCAGCTGACCCCTCAGGTGGAGAATGCGTAGTAGACCTTTGTCTTCAGGATGCTCCCATGCTGCGGAAGCTGACCCTTTGGACGATGTACGTAGATCCTGCCTTCAAGATACTCTTTTGCAACGGAGCTAATCCTTCGAGCGATGACGACGGATTGTGTCTTCTGGATACTCCTTTGCAACGTAGCTGATCCTTCGGACGATGTGTATAATTCTATCTTTTAGATGCCCCTTTGATGTGGTGGCTGATCCTTTTGATACAGAAGGTGATGGCGGCTTATTGCTCTAGCTCATGCGTCAACAATTCTTCATTTTTGCAGGATGCTCCTTCGGTGAGCTAGCCAATCCTTTGATTTTGCAGGATGCTCCGTCGGTAAGGTAGCCGATCCTTCGGTTTGCAGGATGCTCCTTCGGTGAGGTAGCCGATCCTTTGATTTTGCAGGATGCTCCTTCGATGAGGTAGCCGATCCTTCGATTGTGGTGGCGACTTACTGATTTTGATCACACGCCAATTCCATGGGGAGTAGTTCTTTTTTACTCTTCTTGTGTAATCATCCAGTATGCCGGAGATTCTTTGCTTTTGACTTTTCTTTAGCCATCCAGCTTCGTTGGTTGCGGGGGATTCTGATAGCCGTTCAACTTTGATGGTCGCTGGGGATTCTTGATTTTTGGTTTTTTCCATAGTCATCCAACTTGTTAATTGTTGGAGATTTTTGGTAATTGGGCTTTTCCGTTAGCCGTCCAGCTTGCTGGTTGCTGGGGAATCTTTGTTTTGACTTTTCTATGTAGCCATCTAGTTTGTTGATTTTCGGGGATTCTTGGTGAATGCTTCTTAGGTAGGCAAGAACCCACTAGGGATTTATTGATCTTGGCGATGCCTCTTGAGTAGGCAGATATCCATTAATGATTTGTTGATTATGATGGTGCCTCTAAGCAGGCAGATACTTCATTGAGGTTTTGGCAATGCCTCTGAGTAGGCAGATGCTTCATCGGAAGTGAAGACTTTTGACTACATTGTTTTGCCTCTAAACAGACTAATGTTCCACTTGGGGATGTTGGCTCTTGACTGTCAGGTCTTGCCTATGCGCAGACAAACGACTCTCTAAGGATGTGAGTTTTGAAGGTTGTCTTTGCAGTAGGCTCACTGGCGATGTATTTCTATTTGTGGTGATCCATTGGGAAATTATTTGTTTCCTTGGGGATCTGATTTTGGTAGCCCTCTAGGGGAATGGAGTCTTGGCTCCTTGATTGAGGTTAGTGAGAGTTGGCTTTGCAAAGCTCTTATTTTGCTGGAGGAATGGAATTTTTGATTCCTTAGTTTGGATGCTTTATTTTTAAGGTGACCCACTTGAGGATTGATTTGGTTACCTAAAAGTTAGGATTTTTATTCAATTTTGCATTTTTCCGCGATTTTATCTCTTTTTCTCACGATTTTGAAATTTGGCTTCTTTGTGGGGATAATGTGTATGCCTTTTTACTTTTTAGTTTCTTTTATGCACGCAGACTTTTTCTTCTTTTTGGGAATCCGCAGGGGATAAAGTTTTTTCTCTTTTTGGTGCTCCACCAGG